GTTATGCAAAATCCTGACAACTGCCTTTCTTCTCCATTTCTACAAAGCCCCAAAGCTTCTGTCAGCCCCTCAAAGTAGGTCTTGAATCTCTTCATCTCTACTTCCTACCTTGGCCAGGCAAATCAACACTCATTTCCAGCCCTCCACCATTGCTCATCTCCTTGACTCATTAGAAGAAGGGCAGCCGATCCCAGTCTGTAGGGAAATCTGGAGCTGGGCCTTTTGCCCTAAATCTCCAGTGACAAAACCAGACCAAGACAAGACAAGAAATCTACACACAAATATTTGTGACTATAGATGCAAATTTTTTTGATAAATATTAGCAAATTAACATCCAAAAACATATAAAATCATGCAACATGAGCAAATGGTATTTATATCTGGTTGCAAACCTAGGTTGACACTAAAAACATCAATTAATGTAATCTACCATAGCAATAACTCAAAGAAGAAAATGTTCACGATTTCATGAATGGATGTTGAAAAAGCACTTGACAAAAATCCAACACTCATTCACAATAAATACACTCAATACACTAATAATAGAGAAATAATTTCTCAATTCAGTAAGGAATATCTATAACTATAAAATAATTTACAGCTAACATCATAGTTAATAGTTAGAAGCTCAAAATTTTTGCACTAAAATCAGGAACACAGCAAGAATCCTCTCTCACAACTCCTTCTCAATATTGTCCTGAAGTCCAAGCTAGCGCAGTAAGACAGGGAGGTGTACAGATTGGGAAGGAAGAAATAAATTTCCCTTATTCAAGTGACATGATTATCTACATAGAAAATCTAAAAAATTGACAAAGTCTTTCGGGAACAAATAACTGAAATAAGTCTAAAGGAGATAAGGTTAATATACAAAATTCAATTACATTCCTGTATACCAGTAATTAATCAGACAATTTGTAAAACAAACAAATCTCATTTAAATTAATGCTTAAAAAGAAATAGTCAAAGGTAAATTTGTCAAATATAAGTAAAACTTATCTAAAGAAAATTAAACTTTAATAAATGAAATCAAAGAAGAAAATAAGCAGAGAGATGTTTTATCTTCATGGATAAGAATTCAATATTGTTAAGATGACAGTTCTTACAAACTTGATCTATACATTTCATACGATCCCACTCAAAATGCCAGTTATTTTGTGGATATCAACAAACTAATTCTATAGGTTATACAAAGAGTCAAAAGACCCAGAAGAGACAATACAATATTAAAAGAGTAGAACAAACTTGAAGCATTGACCTGACCCAACTTCCAGACCTATTATAAAGCTATCATAATCAAAACAGTGTGGTACTGACCATCGGTAAGTGCTCACAGATTCCAGTGAGAAGCAGTGTGGACCAGAGTAGTGCAGCTACAGGCAGGTGCCAGCCAGGGAACCACCCAGACACCAGTGGCTCCAGCACACAAGCCCACACCAAAGGGCCGCCCAGAAAAGAGCTGCACAGTCCCACAGGCATCAGCCAGATGCCCACCACATAATGTCGGTTAGTGCACGGAGACCCTAGCCAGAAGCCTGCTCAGACACCAGGGTCTGGGGTGCACAGCACCTAGGTGAGGGCCCTCCCAGACAACAGCTACGTAGGGACCCTAGCCAGAGGCAGGCCTAGATACCATCCCAAGTGTGATCAGGCCCTAGACAGAAGCCTGCCCATACAACAGGTTAGTCCAGGGATCCAGAAGGCCACCACTCTGAACCCAATATGTGTAAGACATCACATAAACAGAAATAAGAACAAAAATTACATGATCATCTCATTAGATGGAGAAAAGGCCATGGAAAAAACCCCAAATCCATTCATAATAAAAACCATGAAGAAAATATGTATAGAATGACCTTATCTTAATTTGATAAAAGCTGTTTATGACAAACCTACTGCCAATATCATATTATATATGGAAATGTGGGAAACTTTCTCTGAAAAATTAGGAAAAAGACAAGTAAAATCATCACCACCACTTCTATGGAATATAGTACTTGAAACTTTAGCCAGAGCAATCAGGCAAGAGAAACAAATAAAAGGGATATGTATAGGAAATGACCAAAGTCAAGTTATCATTACTTGTAGATAATACAACCCTTTACATAGAAAACCCAAAAATTTCCACCAAAAATTCCTAGAATTAATATCCAAATTCAGTAGCATAGCAGGATAGAAAGTCCATCCTCAAATATCAATAGCATTCCTGTACATCAATAATGAACTCACCAAGAAACAAATTAGAAAAACAATACCACTCACAATAGCACTATGAAAAATGCAATACTAAGAGTAAAAGACCTCTACATTAAAAACTACAGCACTCAGAAAAGGGAAATTGAAGAGGAAATTGGAAAATGAAAAGGTACACCCTGCTCCTGATATACAGAAACAGTATTACCAAAATTGCCATTTTACTAAAACTGATATCCAGACTTCATACAATTTCAATAAAAATAGCAACAGCATTCCTCACAGAACTAGAGAAAACAAACCTAAAATTCATGTGGAACCAGAAGAGACCCGGAATAGCAAACACGATTCTGAGCAGCAAGAGCGAAGCATGAGGCCTCACCATCCAGGGAGTCAAGCTACACCACAGAGCTCAGGGAAGAAAAGCATCGTGTTGTCACAGAAGCAGCCTGCGGGCCACTGGGACAGACCACCATGCAGAAAGACCTCCCCAAAGCCTGCCATCTGCCCTTCGACGAGGCGACAAGACCACATGCTGGAGCAAGTGGGCTATGGGAAAGCGGCTTCCACGTGGCGAAGACTGAGTCTCGAGCACTCTCTCTCACACGCACTAAGCTAAAATCAAAATGCATCCAAGATCTGAATGTTAAACAGAAAGAATTCATCTGCTGGAAGATAAAATAGGCAAAGCTCCTGAAGACATGGGGACAGTCAAGGACTTTCTGAACAGAACCCAGGTGCCCAAAAACATTACCAAGAATCAACAAATGGGATCATAGCAAATTCAAAAGCTTCTGCAGAGCAAAGAAAACAGCAACAGAGTGAAGAAATAGCCTATGGAATGGGAGACAATTTTAGCAGCTATTCCTTAGACAGACAACTAATATCTGCAATATATAAGAACTCAAAAACTTAGTCCCTCCAAATAAAAGACTCAGTCAAAAAATAGGCACATAAAATGAATAGACTCTTCTCAGAGTCAGAGTCTATTCTTGTTCAACATCTCTAGCCACTGGAGAAATGAAAATTAAAAATCACTGAGCTTCCAACTTACTCCAGAAAGAATGGCTATCATAAAATAATAGCAAATGCTAATGAGGCTACAGGAATAAAGAATCTTTCTACATTGTTGGTAGAAATGTAAACTAGTTTAACCACTATGAAAATCAAACCAAGGATGCCTCAAAAAAACAAAACAGAAATTCCCTTTGACCCAGCTATTTCTCTTCTAGGTATCCTCCCAAAGGATTAAATATTACTGTACTACATGGATTATCTATGTTTACAACAGCACAAGTCATAACAGGTAGTTCTGGGACATGGCCTATATACCCATCGACAGAAGAATGGATAAAAAAAATTGGCACATATAAACAATGGAGTACTACTATGCCATAAAGAAGGATAAACATTAGTTCTTAGTCATTTGTAGTAAAATGGATGAACCTTGAGACCATAATGTTCAGTGAAATAAATCAGACACACAGAGTTAAATATTGCATGATTTCCTTTATATGAGAAACTCAAAATATAAATGAAGAACAAAATAAAAGTTAGATAATAGGAAGTAGGAAGATAGATCTTTAGCATATGGGAAAGGGGCCAAGAGGCAGAGGGATGCAGGAAGCAGGAGAAAGGGAGTGGGTGAAAAAGGAACGAAGATGTGCTGTGTACACCAGAAACGTAAGCATTACGTGCTGCAAACATTTATGAATAAAAACGATACCAATTTTGGTTAATCTGAGTTTGAGACGATAATACAGTTACTTGTGAGGTCACTGTGATACAAAGCTTTTAAATTAAGGGACACTGTTTCAAATTGTAGAGACGGTTGCTGACTGAGGCCAATAGTCTACAATGTCAGATTTTTCAAGCAAGCTATAAAATTAACCCCAAATGGTGACTGGCACGACATCACTAATGGCCTAGCTCCCGCCCCTGCAGCCGGCAGTCACTGTTTGGATCAGGAGTGAAATCTACCACAAGTTACTTCACGGGGAGCATCTGGACACTAGTAAAGTTTGCCAGTTCTATTGCCATTTTCCTATCACCCCAGTTTGGCTTCTCCTCTCCCTTACTCCCCAAAATCTGCATTTCTTTTTGGAGAAAACTTGTGTTCTCTGATTTACATTTCCACCCCTACCCACAAACAGCTCTGATTCTGGTGCATACCTGAGTATAAAGGTACAGTCAGGCCTTGATGACACACACAAAACAGTTCTCTTTTGGCAAAATTGTTCAAAAGAAACTTCCTGTTAAGTCTTCTTTTTAGAAATTTTTTCATATAGCTTCTATTTCTAAGAAGTGATATTTGACTAAAGTTGACTAAATACTAAAACCATATAGAATACATTATAATTGATCTTTGGTTAGTGAAAAGTGCTGGGATATATCAACAAATCTTACATTGTACATCAGTTATTTACATTGCACTAGAGATGTGTGTCTCTGCTATACAACAATGCCTCTGAAGATGCTCAAACTGGCTTTTACACATTGATCGAAATTTTGCATTACATAGACTCCAGAATATATCAGGAGAGATTTGATAAATTCCGCAAGATAGAAAACTTGTAATTCCTTTAGATATTTAAGGTATAAAAATCTATCCAAAGTAGATATCTCTTTTCAAATTGTATAACATCATAGAACTGTTACTACTGCTGGTAGTCAGCTGTTGCTTTTTAACTATATTCCTATATTCTTTGATAACATAGAATAAACATATTTTATTATTACAGTTCATTCTGACAATATAAATGTAATGTGGACCCTATATTTAAGGTTGTTAGTTTAATCATTAATCATACCTGAGTTAGTTCATTAATATCTATAAGTCCGTTACTGTCTGCATCAAAATTTTTAAACATCTGATCCACCAACAGCTTCTTCCGAGATATGTCATCGCCATTAGGATTTTCATTTTCTTGCGTGATATATTTTTGATTTTGTAAATCTAAAAGCATGCTTTTCATCTTGCTGTATACATTGGTCCTGCAGTTATCCCCTGTAACAAAAGAACTAAGTTATTTTCAGAGCAATATTTTTGAAAATAAATAACATGAATATTTAGGAGTTGGTAGTATATGAACTTTCTGATTTTTCATACTTTATAACTTGGATAAGGGAAAAAGATATACTATTACCAAGGACAGATAGAAAACTCTCATTTCTGTCAAATTTAATAACATATTTACTGAGGTTTCTCTGTTTAAAAGGTATTGATGATTTGGGTTACATGGAAAACACAATAGCTTCACCGGAGTTTAAATCTCTATTCTCCAGAAATATGGTCAGTGAAATGAACCATCCAAGGCAAAGGGATACATTGTACTTCATTCTGCATTTAATTAAACTCATTTATATCTGGCTCCAAAAGATGATACCATATGTTAACTCTAAAATGTGTTCTAGATATTGGATTTATTTTGAGGAAATTCCTCTCACATTTTTTTCTTCAAATTCTGTCTACTCTTAGTGGCATATTAAGATCATATTAGCATTCTTCCAAAAGTCTATTCTTACTGCTCTGATATTCATTTCTCTCCTTTTACAGCACTCAGTGTGCAGCATAACATACATTTGGACTTTGCATCTTAAAGCTTTAACTTTGCAAACCTTTTATCCCGGGGAAAGTATAATCATACTGTGGGCAACCTGCATTACAGATGTTCAGTGTCCCCATGTAACACCCCATGCATTACTAAGAATATCATATCAAACAACAGCAATTTCTTAGATGACTGTCCTTTTCTCAAAAAATTAAACAAAAACAAAACTGCTAAAATGTCATAATATCTCTACATAATTATCTTACAGAGCATTTTGGTTACAATGGTCCTGCGATGATATGTTTACAGATAGTGTATTGAAATCAAATGCGTACTGTTGCCAGCAAGTGTGATATAAAATATATTATACAAAGATACAATGTACAATCCGATTTAGATATGAAACAGTAAGTGTTGTATTAGTTGAGAACATTTTAAACATTTTTAGAAAAAATCTAGCATATAATTGCTGTAAATTTTGAAAATTAGGCTTTGACAGCATCTACAAAATTAAAAGAAGATTTCTAAAGATGTTTAAAAATATGTCTGAGAAACCTGGGGTTGAAAACAGTATTTGAAGTCTCATTCTCTCTCAAGAGAAGGCAGAAAACAATCTGTTCTGGAGAGATGAGAGACCATTTTCCTTATCAAAGACAGTGAAATGGCTACTGTGGTTCAGCAAATTTAGCATTTAGCAATCCTGTCCAGTGTTTTTTTTAACCGCAAGTGTAAACATGGGGGAGCAGATTAAGTCAAATCTCTGAAGAAGAATAACAGGTTTTCATGATGGCAAAGAACTCACTGCCAAGAGAAGTAATCAAACCCAGAGCCACTGCCAGCAATTTTAGTGTTTGTGAAAGGGTACAAAAGCAGCCCGCACGTGTGTGTTTGTGCATATGTGTGTGCAGTTGTGCACTCTGAGGACCCGTGGGAAAGGGGGAAAGTGCTGTGGGCTCCTCCGTGGCCCTGGTCTCTGGCATGACCATGGGCCAAGTGGAGGTGGCATCAAGCGCACATGGAGATGGCCGTGAGAAGCAGCTGGAAACAAACACTTCAATGCTGGAGATCGGAGGATGGGAGAACGTGTGGTTTATCCAATCAGTGTATGTTCTCTCTAATGAGTTTGTTCCCCAAATTGTTGATTTCCTCTGAGTTCCAGCCTTTGAGGTGGTTTCTGACAATCCAAAGAAAATAGCAAAGAAAGCTTACTGATGTTAAGGTATTCATATTCTATGAAACATATGCAAGAAACAGTTATAAAATGTGGCAAATCTTTATAAAATTTGCAACTTCAATAAAAACGTCGCTAATTTTTTAGTAACCAAAAAGGTTCATCTGTTATGAAAAGTACATTTTGTGTAGCAAAGCCTTCCTGCGTGTGCAAAACTTTATACACACGGAATCATTTTATGCCTATCAATTATAACACCCAAAGAGAAAAGCAAAGTTTTACAGATGAGAAACAAAGCCATAGACAAATAACTTGTTCACGACTCCAGAGCTGCAAAGAGCAAAGAATGGTTCGGTGCGTGGCACTGAGATGTATTCAGGGGAAGACGCGCTGACTCCCAGAGGCTGAACAGGTGAGGGAGGGCGCCGGCCTGTCTGGCTCTAGGTCAGAGGCGCGCGTTCCACGCACGGGGGAGGATTTCTTGCTCCCTTCGAGATTCTCACTTTACTTCTCTACTCATCAGAATTGGATTTTGACATTTAATGACTAAAAGTCAATCTTCACCTGCATTCAGTAAACTTGTTCAAGGGCTATCTCTTAAGTGAGGAGTGAGTATAATAAGAACTCGGCCAGGATCAGTGCTCATATTAGAAGTGCCAAAGTGCTTCCACCCTAAACAATAAAAACAAAATAAAATAACGGAGGGGCAGCAGGTAAATCTCAAGCAAGCACTGGAGAAAAGCCAAGGAATTTTTCAAGAAAGAGAGTAGGGTGAAAGTCAAATGTTTCAGAGTGAAAGTAAAGCAGTGAAACACATCTATGCGTTCTTTACTGGAGGTGATTGGTGACTTTAAAGACGTTTTTTGTTGTGTTTCATTTTACACTGCATTAGGGAATGAACGTGAAGTGCGGATTTGTAAATCTTACATACTTACTACACCCTCGCTGGCCACTGGGGACCAGAACAGGTGGCTGCTCAGAAGCCGCCCTCTGTCCCTGCCCAAGGGCGCACATATAGACCAGGCGCCCGCTCCGGCAGAGCCTCTCTGCAGGGCGGCCTGGCCACTGTGAAAATCAGGTGCGCTCCCTATGGTTAGAGCCACTGGCTCCCAGAGGCTGTGATTTGCTCTGACCTCTTTGAAAATAAACTTTTATCCCTCTTGCCATCCTTCAGTAAAAAGCACGATTCCATCAATGCAATTATTTAATCCAAAATTACGTAAGAAAATCATTTTTTAATATTCTTAGAATTTGATTACTTTGCTTCCAGTGCAATGGGGTCTGGAAACTCAATGAATGAAAGCAAATTAAATGTTTTCATTTTCAGTCCTATTCATATATTACAGTGTATATTCAAACTGTGTTTTTTCTTTGGCAACTTAACAATTGCTAATAAAATATTGTTAATATTTTAAGTAAATATTTTGTATTTGTAGCATATAGAATATATCAAAGCTTCAGTTTATTCGTTTAATATGTATATGTGAGTCAAATTTAATTCTCTAACAGTTATATCAATTAAAAGTTAAACTGCACATGAGGGGACTAAACTTAGCTCATTTAAAAATAGCCTGCACAGAGTTAAAATAGAGAGCTTTAATATCTACTTAAATGTAAAATAGAAACCGGTAAATTATACTGTTTCACGATGTTTACTTCAGTGTATTGCAGTTATGCATAAAGTTAATACGCGCTCACTCTGCACACTCCACGTGGGAGGTTTGGTCGTGCTAACATTCGTACGGTGACTCATGAGGCAAGACATTCAAGAGTCACGGTTTATCTTAAGAAAACAATGTACTGACTGCTCTTCGAGAATGGCCTAGATGCCCGGCCCTTCACAGGCAGAGCCTTCCCCACCTCAGTGAGCCCACGCCAGAATGGGGCCGTCGGTGACGCCACGTTGAGGAGGAACCCTCACAGTGCGCCGCTGATGTGCTGCATGGGATTGGTAGGGTCCTCGGTGGGTGCTGTGCAGCCTGTGGCTTTGCCCGGTGTGCAGGGACCTGTGTCTCCCACTCCAGCACTGCTGGCCTGAAGGCCTCTGCGCTCTGCTCCTCCCGCCTTCCTCCCCTGCCCTTGACTACCACTGATCGTAAGGCTTACAACGTTTCGCCTTGGCCAGGATATCTCATAGCTGCAGCCATGTAATACGTAGCTTTTCCAGATTGGCTTCTTTCACTCAACGGTGTGCATTTAAGTTTCCAGCATACATCCATGGCTTGATAGCTGATTTCTTGTTTGTGTTGAATAGAATTTCACTGTGTGGATGAACTACATACAGCTTATACATGCACCTTGGTTGTTTTCCAGTTTAGGTAATTATTCATATAGCTGCTCTCAGAATCTCTCTGCTGTTTGGGGTATGTACATATGCTTTTAACTCACAGGGGTGCATTTTAGGGAACAGGATTTCTGGATTCCATGGAAACACTATGCTCACTGTTGTAGGACCCTGCCGACCTGCCCTCTCAGGGCTCTGCCACGGACATGCCTACCAGAGAATGGACACTCTCCTTGCTCCCATCCGGGCAGCACCACTGTGCTCTGGGTCTCAGTGTTCCCTCGACCTGATACATCTATTTACCCATGTGCCTTTACCTCACGGTTGTCTGGGGGACTTTAAGTTCGTGAATGATTGTTTCACAGTAGACTTTGGTTCCTATCCTCTTCCCTCAAGTTCTACACACAAATATTCAATTTTTAAATAAAAATTACATGTAATACCACACACACATTCTTGAACTGTTAAAGATAAATGCCTAAAAGCACAATTAATTTGATTGACATGCTTACTGATTAATTTTAAGAACCAATCTTACAGGACATAGCATTGGAATATTATGAGCTATAAATCCATTCTCCAAAACATGTTGTTATTTAGGATATAAATATCACATTGCTACTGATAACTGTCTTTAAATTTACCCAAACAGAAACCAAAATGGGTTAGATTTTCTAGCTTGGCAGATGCGATTATGTATTCGAATTTCAGTAAAGGTGTTTTATTATCCAGGTCATTTTGCTATCTTAACCCTGAGAGAACACTAATGAAAACGCTTTTGAGGGTTACATGCATCCAATGTGACCTGCTTTGCATCCAGCGTACAGATTGGCCGTTAATCCTTCCCTCCCACATTCTCACCAACACAGAGGCACAAAGCAAAACGGTAGAGCTGCTGGCAGGAAACACACACTAAAATAACCCACAGCAGTGTTTCAGTTGATAATCTATATGCCTGGGAATCTAGATGAAGAATACAAATGTGCTTTATCCCAAGCAAC